AATGATGCAAAATGGTAACACGATTAAGTTAAAACTGCAGTCTGCAGTCTGCATTTTACCCTTAGTCTGCACTTTACCCTCGGTCTGCAGTCTGCGTTTTACACTGACTGGTACGCACAATGAAGTATGGCGTTGTGCAGAAATCTTGCGCAGAAATCCTGCCAAAGAAATCACTTTTAGGCTGCTTATCAAATAATTTAGAAGAAATAATGTGTATTACAATGAAATATATTTGCATTGTTTTAATTTATCATTAAGTCGCCTGAAGATAAAAGCAGGTCGACTTTAATAGCATTGCAGATTTTGTATTTTACACCACTATGTGACCAGGAGTGCTGAGGATGTGTGAATGGCAAAACGCTCTCTGCAAAGGCAATTTATATGAGTTATTGACCAAACATGAGGTCAAGATCATGATGGCTGGATATTGGCCATGTTTTTTTGGCCTGTTTATGGACCGAGGCCAAACCTCGTTAATAAATGACTTATTACATGGGGGCTTCGGGGAAATTGCTCGGGACAGCGCGTACTCCCAAGGGGGTAAGGCCGCTCGGGTACCCAATCACAGCGCAGGATTCTGTTCATCTCATCCGCTCACGGAGCTAGCCATATAATAAGACGAGTTCTTAATTCGAATCTTCAACCCTCCATTCGTTGAAATTGCACACGTTGGTCACCATGGGGTGTTATTTCCTACAAGGGAGAAAAAATATCTTTCAGAAGAGACATCTTACAGATATCTTTTAATATCATTCAGATTATGACGCCTAAGGGATGCCGAAATGTTATGCCAATAGCCTAAAAAAAAAAACTTTTTCAGCGCAGGAGGACCTCGATTTAGAACTCTGTACTACTGCCACAGTCTAGAATCCTTCACCAGGGATTTGCCTCTTTTCGTTTTAGAGCTAACATTATTTTCTTCCGTAATCCTTCGTTTTCCCTCTAAGTTATAGAAAATGCACCTTTTGTCCTCCAAAGTAAAATTTTCTTGGACTTTCGTTTTTGGCGAGGATTTCTTTATCACGGCTGTCTTCGGTATACCTTTCAGACTCTAAGCTCACGATTTTCTCTTTAAGGATAAGTGGTGTTGTTTGTTGTAATTTGCAGTGTTTTCAATTTCAAGTCTTTTCTTGCTAGTTTATATTATCAAACTATAAAGCCATTGTATTTATACACGAACACGTTCCGACACTCAGGTTCACAGGGTAGATGATGCCATTCGCCGGGTAAATGGCAGTCCAGTGGATTATGATTTTCCGCGAATGGTTTATCCGGCTGATAGCGTGATCCAGCCGTTGAACAACCAGGGTCTGTTAAAACATCGCCGTAGGACAATTTTTTTGTTGCCATTGCTACCATATATACCGTTCGGCATCTCGCAATTTAAAGTGCTACAGAGCAAAAACATTAAGAACATTATTTTGGGTTTGAGATTGGGGATCCAAGTAATGTCTAGTCAAGGTCAGCGCCTTTTCAATCTACTTGTCTTTCCAAGAGATAAGTGTCACGGTTAACCACGTTTAACAACTCCATGTATTTTATTTAAAACACATATATTTTGCTGTCGTGTTGAACGATAAAATAGCGCTAGACGGATGAACAATTCCTTGATTCAAACAGAGTAGTCCTATAGATTACAAAGATTTTCTACAAAGAGAGTAAATTGTAACAAGAGCTTTATTTACGTTATCAACGTTCCTTTTTTTCTCTGGGTAAATGACAGTCCAGTGGATTATCATTTCCGAATGGTTTATCCGGCTGATAGCGTTATCCAACCTGTGAACAACAAGGGTCTGGTGGAACATCGCAGTAGGGGACAATAGGTGTTTGTGCCCAGTGTTACCGTACTAGGCTATTTGGCCTCTCCATATTTTAAGTGTTACAGAGCAAAACTACCTTAATTAAGAACATTATTTTGGATTTGAGATGGCAGCTCCAAGTAACGTCTAATCAAGGTCAGCGCCCTTTCAATCTAAGTCTTTCCACGAGATTAGTGTCACGGTTTACAAGTCCATGTGTAATAACACTATGTATTTTATTTAAATCGATTCTTTACAGTATGTAGGGTGAAGAAGCTGTCTTGTATTGTAAGTAGTGTTAATAGCTCTGTTGTATTGCGAGTAGTGTATGTAGTCTGTGTTGTACTGTTTAAGTGTAAAGTATAAGCAAACATAATAAAATAACTTTATTATGAAAAAAATATTATTTTAAATTACATATGTTTTGCTGTCTTGTTGAATGATAAAAATAGTCTTAGAGTAATGCACAATTCATTGGTTCAAATAGAGTAGTTCTATAGATTACAAACATTGTAAATTGTAGCAAGACGTTTAGGTTATCTACATTCTAATAACAGATTCCTCTCAAGTTAACTGTTCTTTTTTTTTTCTCTCTGCCTGACTGCATTCCCTTCACTGCAATAACTGTTGCACACACCAAACCGACGACTCCTAAAACAAGCCAGGGATTGGTGGTTGTCAAGGTCACAGAAAACAGGCCGGCAACTGCCATTGTGATTTTTTAAATAGTCTCCTCCATGTTTCTATTCAGAATAATAAAAGGAGTAAGTCTCGCAACCACATACCTAAATCGATATCATATCGTATCGATGTCATATTTTTCCGCTCAATGCCCTAAAAGGTATCGCGAAAGTTCCTGCTGTGGACCTTGTACCACAACATTGTTTTTAACCCCAAAAAGGTAAGACGAGCACCCCCGTCCTTTTTGTATGTGAGCCACCTCCCCCCGTATCGGATATAATACTAAAATGAACTGCTTGGTTAGAATTCAAAATCACATGTACATTTGCCTGTTAAACAGGAATGCCGAGAAAAATCTTCTTAATAAATGACGTGTCGAATAATTAAGAATAGGTCAGGTTGAAGGTGCTTGTCACGGCTTCTTGGGCAATCAAGAGATGGATGAATTGGAATCCAATGCAAAATACTTCCTCTAAAATCTTTTCCTAACGACTTTAAAAAGTCAGCACATCGATCAGTTTAAGAAGTCGCACTCAATCAGATGAAATCTTTAGTTTCATAATCGGTTATTCCCTTGAAAACGACATTTGACTTTCGTTTAAAAGCAAACGGTGTAATTTACAATATACTTGTATTTCGATCAGGCTTATTTGCACATAAGATATGGCTACAAATGTGATACATTTGGCTACAAATTGCTGCATTTACTACTGAAATATTGTACCGAAAACAAGATTTTGGCGACGAGGAAAGCACTGACAAGTCAAGTCAAGTACTCACTTCCGCTTGAAAAGCTTCGCTGCGAAAACAGTTCCAGTTGAAGATTCAAGAAAACTTCATACAACTGTAATTGTTCCTACGATGAAAAAAAATCAGATTAAGCGTCGCCGATTGCTTCTCAACTTTGCATGTTATGCTTATAAACGAGAATTTATCTAACCTTTCGTTTCCTGTTTACTTTCTCTTTGTCGTCGCAGAGAATCTTGGAACGGTATGAAAGTGACTTTTGGAGCGAGACTAGGGCGGAGTGATAATCTTGATTATCGAACTCAGACTTTTCTCCGCCAAAATCGCGCAATTGTTTTTTGTTTGCTCAGGCTTTCTTAACAAGTCCTATAATCTCTTGGTCCTATCCTTTAGCTTTCTTAGCACGAAGAAAAACCAATGAAGTTAATGGAGTGATGGCTTTTTCTAAACAAATTGGGCTAAATTGCAATATCTCTTAGGTCTACACAACCAGCCTCAGACACGCACTCTCAGGTTTAAAATTCTGATTTTTTAAACCAGGAATAAGGTTTTTCCGGGGAATATTTAAATTGCCCCCTTCTCTCTTTCTGTCTTGCGCGGACTATCTCCGTGAAAAATTAATATTCATCAACTGTGAAGTAAGTGATTGTGCTTATAAAGTTTGGAAACCAACCTTGAGGCATTAATTTATATATATAAAAAAACTCTGCTTTAATACATGTACAAGCACCAAATTTCACTCTTGCATCTTGTGCTCTGAGTGATATACATCAATTGTGTGACTGCTCATCGATGTTAATCTCAATGCGTGAATTAATATGTAATTTTATTTCTAATATCTAATGATTTTCTTTCGCCTGGTTACATAATTATTTAAGCTAATCAAGAAAGCATAAAGAGTAAGAGTGTTAACCCCCATATATAATTTTCTTATTGTTTGTAGAGCGATGCACTATAAGACAGGCATGGTGATTTTATTCGTAAGCCATTTTGGTTATTATATGACGGGAAAGTTTACTACACTGTGATTGGTCGAGAGCAATTTCATTTTCCATTACGGTGCAAATTAGTGCAGACACGTTCGTAATTTTATCTACCATATAATAAATAAGCAATCGCATGAAACCTCGAGAAATTAAAGATTTACACTACCCGTGATATTTGAAAATTCATTCAACTTGCAGTCACCAAAAGTCATTTAGAAAGTCTTATTTAAAGTCGTTTGGATTAAGGTGTTAAACAACTTTAATTTTGTTGTTTACCTTAAATACAAGTAAAATTTATATCCTAACATATAATTAGAAGAATTAGCAATGTCTACAGGTGTATAAAGCGATTACTCCTTGACGCTGTCCGTGCAATCATAGAACTTTGTAGTCTAGCTAATGCGCTATCAACAAAAGAGATGGCGATTCTTAGGCGAACTCTAAGTCTTGTTTAAGTTCGTCCGGGAGAAAGACTGTAGCATTAATATGGAGTCAGAGACCAATAAGAACAATTAGCAAATTTAAAAAGAGCAAATTTAAAAAAAGTTGGTAAATTTAAAAAATAAATAATTGCAAATAAATAATAATTGTAAAATTGCCAAATCAGTTGTCAAGTTTCGTTTCTTACAATCAAATGAAAGAACAAAAACCAGGGCTTACTTTTCTTTTCATGGAGGGAAATGCCATATTAAAATCCAAGATTAAACCAAGTCACAGGCAGAATCAACTTTTTAAGTATAGTATTGACTTTTGAACGTATGCGCATGCGTTGTCCTGTGCAGAGAGTTGTCTTCCTGGTTTCCAGTTTTGACAGAGTTGACGTCATTGTTATAAATTTCCCTCATGTTCTATTATATCATAGGCCATTTCTACAGGCAGCAGGATTGCTACATGCAACACGTGTGCTATCCACATCTACCTTTCTTACTCTGCGAGCGGAAGAGGGAAAAAATTTTAAAAAAGAATGAAAAGCACGGAGGAAAAAGCCACACAATGCGGTCAAGTTTAGCCTAAATTGATGAATGATATTTCAAATCAATTATTTAGTAACTTAACTAATTGCCAAACGAGTAATAATGCTTACTTTCTACTGAGATATTTTGAGTCTTCTAAATTCCACTTTGAAACAGATTCCTGATCAAGTTCAGATCAGATAAGCACCAAAATAAAAGTGGTTAGGCTCCATCCATATTCTTATATCAAAAGCAAAAACCTTTACGTAGAGTTTCTCTCCCGCTGTCAAGAAAGATCTCCACCAGCAAAACCAGTATTCTCCTTAAAAGACGGCATATCCTTGTGAACCATCAAGAGAATGCCATTGTCGGCATAGACAGCAACTCGATTGCTGTGGTGATATTCTCTGCTGTTGAAGAACATCTGAAAATAGACATAGTAACGACCACTCACAGGTACTTGCAGTCATCCTTTGTAAAACAGAAAGCCGTTCACCAGATGACTTTTGGGATCGTTGGGGTTCCACGCAGTAATTACTGAAAAAAAATGGACGAGGCACCAAATCAAGATTTTCAGTTTTAATGTGAGTAGTCGCGTGTCCCTCAGCTCCAACTCTGCGCTAACCCTTGAGCTACTTTTCATTTTCAGTTTCCGTGGAAAATCTGTTTTTCAAACCAGAATATCGTCGAAATATGGTTTCTGTTCTTCTTGTGTAGTCTCCTTACAGTGAAGACCAGTTGGCTGATTTTAACTTACCATCCCAAGGGGTGAACACGCCTACATTGTTTATACCCATACTTGAGAATAAACAATTTTCTCTGTGTAGTAAGCGAGGGCTTTATCTACAGGCTATTAAGCCTGCTATCCCTTTGCATCCAAGAGGACCTTCATAAATTCCTGTTGCAATGTTGCTACCATCACCGTTATCGAAATCCGTTCAAAACGAGACAGGATGAAGGTGAACAGAGGTAATCCCCCAGATAGGAGTTTTTCTTAAGGTCTTCCTCTTAATGCTATGTTTTAATCCCGATTAAAAAAATCCCTGGACATCTAAAATAACCGATCATGTGAGGGGAACTATACACACAGGGACATGCCAAGAGGCTTTGCACACGATTTCCATCCCCCACAAAAAACATCTACGCAACGCTCGGGGTATTTTCATCCGCGGGAACTAGAAACCATGTCTAAATGAAACTTGCGAGGGATTACCTTGACAGTAAGGCCTATATAGGGGATTAATTCTCTTACCCTTCAACATCTCCAAGGTTTGAGCGCAATAACAGCAAGGCACATAGCTCTTTACGAAAGTATGACTAACACATGTAATGAAAAACATACCTTGACCTTTGCGGTAGTACTCTGCCCAAGGTTCACCACCCTCGAGATGAGCTGAGGGAACATGTTTGGATGGTGAGGGACAAAATAGAAAGAAGACAAACACGCATAGAAGGATAAGATAGACATAGCCAAAACGTCCACCCACAGATACTAACAATCTACCAGCGGTATAGTCAAAGCGGTTCATCAGATGCATAACTCTTGGAATCGTTGCAGTTTCACTCGGCAATTACTGAAAGTAAACGGAAAAGGAAAACAAAAATGAAATGTCTCTTTTTCACACCGAGGTTAATAGACAT